TCTGCAGCACCAGTTCGATCCCCAGCCGCCAGGTGAGGCTCCCACATGGCGCGCAGACCTCTCCTGCCGCCCGCTGCTCCCCTCAACAGTGTACTTCGGTCCTTCTGCCTGCTCTGCTCCCGCTCTGGCTCTGGTGAATTCTCTCACCCTCCCGCGCTTCTGACTGTACCCAGTGCTTGTATAAATAAATAAATAAATCTTAAAAAAATAAATAAAAGAGTTGTCATTTAAAAAAAAAAATTACAGCATTAGTGACATTAGGACCCACACTTTTTCTTACTTTTAACTACTCTGCTTCCTTTGCCAAAATTCTAAAAGAAATTCATTTGGTTCACATTAAAACCAAAATAAAGAAAGAAGATGACAATTTTTAAGAATAAGCTAGGCCACAAAAACAAGAATTAAACCAAAACTACAAAATTCAAATCTAAGTCAACCTCAAAATGTAATTATAATTCTTTCAGTGATGAGACTTTCTCAACTTCTTTACTCAGTTATGAAAATAATCAGGAAGAGAGCAAAAATATCTCCATAATAAGGATATACAGTTAAAGAAAGAAAACACTTTCCTATAATTAAGCTGACTGTGTTCCAGGTACACAATCTAAAGTGTATGTCCAATAAATGACTCAAGATAGGTGAGTATTTGTAATATATACTGATGTCTATATTAAAGAACAAAATACTAAATGATTATTCAAATCCTTCAACAAGAATTAAATGCACTGGCTCTAATACTTCACACACACTGTTTTTTAAAAATCTACAGCAACATTAATATAAGGTTTACATTCAAGTGCAGATTACAGAAACAATGGAAAGAATCAGTGGCACAGAGTCAGAAATCCAGGTTCTAAATCATCCTCAGTAATTAATTAGCTATATGTCCTTAGGTAAAATTCAAAGCTCTGTATCTCTCTTGTCTACAAAATGAGCAGGTCAAACTGCATGTTCTCTAAAGCTGTGTCAGTCGGAACATTCCAAAAACAGTTGAGGAAAGCAGATACTAGGCAATGCGTGGAACACTTTAAACTATGAAAAGTATGATTGTTTAGGATGATCCCAAATATGGTAATATAGGAAAAGTCCCCAAATAAAACTGGAAGAATATTTCTCCCTTATATAATCTTATTATAGTTCTGTTCAGATGAAACCAAAATTTGGTAATTCACATGCTTCCTAAAATCTAATCTATTTGATATTTATTCTTCAATGATAAGTTGAGGAAGTACCCTGAGAGGGAACATGGAGCAGGTCTAATATAACAGGCCTGTTTAAAAAATATATTGAGTATCTAGCTAAGCACTGAGGTAAAGATAGCGCTAAGGATGCATGAGAACAAGATGGACATAGACCTTCCCTTATAAAGTTTGTACACAAGAGAAAGAGGAGAAGAGTAAAACGGCAATTTCGAAACAGTAGAATAAAGGCCAAGGAGGAAAAGTATAGATATCTATGTCCAAAAAAAAAAGTGCAAATTTACTTTTTGTTTGCATCTTAGAGAAAAAAAATTAGTACTAGACTCCCATGTTTACATGTGCTGAGAATACCTTTGCTTTCTTATTTCTTTTCATGATTTGACCCTAAATGCTGATCTGTACATTTGTCCTGGCTTTTCTTTGTGCCTTCCTGTCCGAATAAAATTATCTGACCATCAATCCCTACAGTAGAAACACTTTTAATATTTCTGCTAGCTTGCCATTTAGGCATCTACATGCTCATCTATTCAGATACCAATCTTCTCGGGGCTTGAAAATCCTGGACATCTTCATAGCCCTCTGACATAATATTAAATATCACTTGCATGCATTACTAAAGTATTACTCCAGTCTGTTCTTCTCTGAATCTTTGCTATTTCCTTAATTTGGACTTTCACCCTACCACACCAAAGACTCCTTAAGTGGTTTCCCTACTTTTCCTTGGTCTGCCCACTTCTAATCCACTCTATCAGACGATGCTTCTAATGTAAAAATATGAGCATATCACTCCCCTGTACAGAACTCCTCTTGAGCTCTCTATTAAATGCAGAACTGAACCCAAGCTTTTAAAATAACTGGCAATGCTCTTCTCGTGGTTCTAAACTCCACCTCTGTCCACAGCCTAATCTCTGACATTTTCTTTCTCATACTCTCACATTGTAGGAAGTAGTATTGCCAAATCGCTTGGAATTTCTTGGCATTTGTCATAGTATTTCCCTTCCATGCCATTCCTACAGTGATTTATTCTGCATACATGCACTTTTCTCTTTACCCAGCTAACTTCAAGATTCATCTAAGGCATCAGCTTCTATGCCCTCTGCACCTTATCACAACTCCTTCATGTAATATTAAATTTTCTACCTTGTGATAGCTTTCCTAGAGGAAATGGAACATGTTGTTCCTCAAGAGGAAGGATCATGTTATAATTCATTTTTATGTGCATAGCATATAATATAGCATCTAAGACATAACACTTAGTAAATTCTTTCTAAACTAAATAAAATTTGGTCCCCACATGCCTTGCCCAGATTTATGGCAAAAAGCAAGTCCCAAATCTATGGGAACTCCTTCCCTTACATTCCTTTAGCAACCGTGTCAACCTTTCCTCCCCTGAATGTATTAGTCTTACCATTCACTGGCTATTTTATCTGGAAGCTTGGTTCAACTCTTAGTTGAACTTCATGTTTACGTTATGCCACCACTGCCAACAAAGCAAAAGTGACACAATCCCCAAACTGATCCTCTATTTCTTCTAGGATTAACAGTGGCAGAAGAAATTCATTTGGCAGATTTATTAAAACAATTACCAAAAGCCCTCAGAGGTCTTTCTAATACTGCAAGATGTCAGTATGAACTAGCTGAATAGCAATTCTACTTTCCATAAAGTTTTTGTCCTCTGATTTCAGATCTTATCTTCAATACTTATAGAGCTGTCTGCCATGGCTCATGGGAATTACAATATTGTAGCCCATCAATAACCTAAGCCATCTTTCTAGTAAATAGATTCAATTCCTCCTCAGTCAGTGGGTCAGCATGACATTGCTTATCACAACCCTTTTACACTGTAAAGGAACAGTTGTCTCATGCAGTATTAAAACTCATCTGATCAGAAGTTCAATCCCATTAAATGATAAGGGAAAACTGGTGACTAGCTCCCAAATTAAAGAACTATGATGAAGAGTCATCTCTGGCTCTCATAATTTAAGTGAACAGCAGTAGTGAAAGCCTTCGGTTCAGAAATGATGAAGATTTTAACTTGAAAGAAAATTCCAAGTACACAGCTCCTCTTGTTGGAATCATGGAATAGGGAGAAAGAAAAGAGGGAAATGCTGTATAAATGCACACCAAAATAATTTGCTATGTATGTTTTAAATTTCCTATGCAGGTGGCATAAATACACACTTGCATTTGGTTCTGCCAAAAGCCATTAGGACTGCACAGGATCACTGGATTTAAAGTAGAGAGAAAATTTTACAAGGTGAGGTAAATATCAATGTTCAACCACAATACCATTAGTTTCTTATTAAAAATGTTTTCAGTGGCTTTTTAAATGCATACAGGCCCTCAGAGGTGAACCTAGTCTTTCCAACATTCCCACATGTCCCCAGTCACAGTGTATGGTATCTGTTTTTACTCAAGTCTCGATTTTCTGGCCATTGATATAGCTATAATTAGCAAAATGAAGAATTTACATATATATTTTATATGACCAAATTTAAATGCTGCATTTTTACAGAAGTCTTCTATGACATGCTGTCAGTTGCATACTCTCCTACCCCATGACAAACATCATAGTTGGTTCTTCTTTCATCTGTATTCCACTGTCAATATTCATATAGTTCTATAATAATATAAAACACTTTAAGAACTTTTAAAATTTGTTTACATCTCTGTTTTCCCTACGAGACTCCCAGGACCTACTAACACTTACATGCCCAGTGTCTTGACACCAAAAGGTACACAATCAATAAATCATGGCTGAATAAACAAAGATTTTAGATGGAAATATATAGAATGGTAAGGACATTAACTATGGGCCTGATGTGGTGTTTAATCCATTTTCTCATTCTTTACATGGCACTAGAAAAGTCACAAGCCCCTCAAACCTCACTTTTCTCATACTTTTTAAATAATAGCACTTTACAAATGTAAAGGTATTTACTTGCAATAAAATTCAAAGTTAGACCACAATTGGTCAGGTTTATAGTATTGTTGGTTTCTTTACAGAATTTAAATGGGATGGAGGACTTTCTATATTAATATCTTAAAGTTAAAAACCTAAAAAGGAACACAGTGCTTGAATGTTGATACTTCAATGCATATATACGTACATCTTATATGGTTACAATTTCTCTATATTTTAATTACTGAATTTTCAAATTGATGTCATATATGAAGATAATTATCCCAGAGAGTACAAGAACCTTTTTGCTAAAATTAGCCAATTGTTCAATTCTATTTCTACTTTCTTACTTTTCATTAAATTTAATCATAATGCTAAAGGAAAAAAAAACTATAAAGAAGGAAAGTTATCTTCAAAATGTCAAATTTACTCCACCAATTTTGTAAAAGTGGAAACAAGACTACTGGAAAGGTGAAAAGATCTGGTTGAGCCACACAGATATTTGGAAGACTTTGCCTTTACCCTCAGGGACCAACATATAATAAGTATACTTGTGTAAAATGAAGGTTACTTATAGGTGTTCTGACCTTTGTACACTTCCAGAGATGATGGCATCACAAGAAAAAAAAAGCACAATTGGCCTGATAATCTAGTTTTAATGTTTCAACAGACTTACCTTCCTTTATTCTCTCATGCTGTGCCTGTATTTTTGAAAGCTAATTTTTAAATGTTAAACTGAAGAGCCAATAGGTTTCTTAAATACACGACAATGATGTCTTACCCAGCAGTGAAATATTACACCTCCATATGCTCAGTTATGTGACAAAACTATGTGGTTAACCCAAAAAGGACGTCTTGAAAGTCATAAAAATTGCAACCTTAAGATTCAGGTCAATTACCTTGCTTTCTGCTAACCAACGATGTGGGTCATAATTAATATCAGGACCTGATGAAAAAACCTACAAAAAAAAAGAAATAGTCTATTAAAACATTTTTCTCTAAAATGAACTTACATAACTGAAATCTTCACCATAACATACAAAAGTTTAGCCTCTAAACTTATAGGTTTAAAAGAATTTCATATCAAGTACTCATTCCAAATCACCACTTATTTACATGTTTATGTACATGTGATTATATGACTACATATGTGTGTGTAGGAATGTGTATATTGACAGCAAAATTTTAGTTCAAATAGAGACATGGAAAAATAAACTCTCACTTGTTATCATTGCTAGAATCTCCAGAGACAGATTCCATGGAGTTCTGCATGGCAAACAGTCTCAATTTAGCTAGTTTACTTCATTTTTGTTTGTTTCTTATCCTCAGTCTTGTTCCACATAATGTATTTCACAGTGGGTTTGATGTAATTATATGGAAACTTAATCCTTTTTCTCATTTATTCTTCCTTAATTTTATACAATGAAGACCATTTTGTTTCATTAATGGCTGTGTAGAACTGGCAGAAACTAATCAACATGACTTCATGTAAACATTATAAAGTAGCTTTACATTTCATGATGGCAACAAAATCCTACAATAAATAGGTTGTCTCTACTAGCTTCTCTGATTTGCTTCACACCAACTCATTTACAAAATCCCTTGCCATCTGGTTCTGCCTTGTTATTGAAGTAAAGCTGTACTAAAATGTAGTCAGTAATTTTATAATTGTAAACAAAAATTTTTCTCAATTCCTCTTTTCTTTGAATCTTATTCTAACTCTGATATTTTTGCAGGATTTCATTTAAGAAATTTGCTGTTTAAAATTACCCTATTCTTCGGTCTCCCTGGTGGCACAAGGGTTAAAGTCTCAGCACTATCAAGTTATTGCAAGCCACTGTGCCTGAGTTCAATCCCAGGCCAGGGAGCTGGTGCAGCAGACCTCTCCAATCTCGCCAGCTGCTGCCCTCAGCAGTGTATTTCAGTAGATCCACATGTTCTGCTCTCTACTCTGTCTCTGATGAATCCTCTCACCCGCTGCACCTCTGGCCTGCACCCCAGTTCTTGTATGCATAAATAAACATAAAAAAAATCCTATACACTAAAAAAAAAACCTACCCCTCTGAAGGAGATATCTTTTCCTGTTCTCAAATACTTCCATACTTCTGGATGGGCATGCACATCGCTCCCTGAAGGTATATCACTAGGAAATACATTTAGACATATGATAACTACATAATTAGTGTTGACCAGATGCCGGAGGCAGAGTGTTATATTTGTATGGCCAACCTTTCTCTCATCCACTGTCCAATCTATATCTCACTTAACTTTCATGCCCACCCTGCTTTTTTAATGAGTTTCCCTAGTCACTCTATTTCAGTGTTTTCACCTCTTCTATCTGTCTACTGTGTTGAGTATTTATGATTATCTTTTATTATTCTTTATCATTCATCTATATCACAGCCTCAATTAAATTGTTAGTACTCTAAGATACAGTGCTCAAGATTGAAGTTTAAAATAATTTAAAGTGGGGCCTCCCCGGTGGCGCAGCGGTTGAGCGCTGGGCTGCGAAGCTGCCCGCAGCCTCAGCGGCGCTGGTTCAATCCCCGGCTGCTCCCCGGCCACCGGAGGAGGGTCCCACATGGCGCACAGACTTCTCCTGCCGCCTGCTGCTCCCCTCAGCAGTGTACTTCGGTCCTTCTGCCTGCTCTGCTCCCCGCTCTGGCTCTGGTGAATTCTCTCACCCTCCCACGCTTCTGCCTATACCCAGTGGTTGTATAAATAAATAAATAAATCTTTTAAAAAATAAATAAATAAAATAAAATAATTTAAAGTAATGAGTACAGCAATCATCATATTTTGTTATTTGTCTTACAAATTTAGATGTAGTTCACTGTTTAAGAAAACAATCTTGTCCACTTACAAATAGTGTAACAATGTCTCTAAGTTATGGACTATCACCTATAAAGTGAGCAAACTACCTTGGAAGAACAAGGTATAAATAAGTGAGTGTTAGCACAGTGTCTGACACATAGAACGCCATTATTAGCACTGATGGTATCTCTATATATCATCATAATCCAAAGCCTATTTATGACAAGAGCATTACAAGAGGCATTTGTCATTAAAAAATGAGAACATATATAGAAATATGAATGTGTTACATAAAAGGTACTATGTAGCAATGATAGCTAACGCTGACTATGTGACTCATGCATTTGTTAAGTGTGCACATTTAGTGCAAGATATTTCATATATAATGTACACCTTCTATAACATTTTACTTTATGATCATAAGCCAATACACATATGACATGAATTTTTAAAGAAAATAGATTACATAACTTCCAGCATCATTACATAAGCAATTTGGAGAGATGCGATCTGGACATACATTTGTCTTGATCCTGTCCATCCACTTTATGCTCAAAAGCTGAATGAAAACTCAGATCATGTGTTATGGGAAAAGCTTCTGAGTTTTCAGAGACTGGCATATAAATATGATTATCTTTAATTCATATCCCTTAGTGTTTTACAATCTCAGTGCACTATTGTATGTTGTTCTTAGATTTCCAAACACTGTATGTAACTACTAAAGTAGAGTAACTAACAAATATGGTGGCTGGAAAAAGAAAAATGTAATTAGAAATAATATCAATATTTGCAAGGAGTCTTCTCAGACTCATTTGTTACATATCTATTATTCATTCCATTCTTTAACACAGTCACTCTCTACAATATAACAGTAGAAAATTTAATCAGCAATATTTCAAAAATCAACAAAGGACAAAGAATAATCAAACTTATTCTTTTTGCAAACATTTTACATAAACCATCACCCTCCCACAGATGTCTGAACTATAAAGAAAAGAATTTTATTTCAATAAACACCTTAGTGTTTTCTTTCTTAACGTTTTCTTAGAGCAAACGTTCTGACACTTGGAATTTTTTCTTTTTCCTTTTTTTTTTTTTTTACAAATTTATAGGAGCAAGACAACAGAAGTTGTTAATTAAAGGACAACCAAAAAGAAAAAAAAAAGTACTTGAAAAAAATAACCTAGTAGAATTTTCATTCTCTTAGATTTACTTTCCACTCATCACTTAAATTAATCTTTCTCTAGAGGAAGAGGTGTAAAGATCCATTAGCATAATCACTCTATTCCTAAACACACTAAGAATAGGGGGCTTTTCAGAATATGTTGGGAAGACCAATTGTGCCTCATAAAGAAATAAAATATTTAAGCAGCCTGTTATCTGCATACCCTGTTTTAACCTACAATTGCTCATATCAAGGTTTATATACGTCTCAGTATGATCCAAATGTATTCATTTCCTTTCTACTTGATTGAAAAAAAAGTCAGCCTGACACAAATACATGGATGTAAAATAAGTACTGCATTGTTAATATATGCTTCTTTTAGAGGAAATTAGGATTTTCGAGGCCATACATTCCTTAATATAAGTAAACAAGTTTAAAATTGAAAAAGCAGCATTAGACAGGAAAAAACAATATACCAGCCTTATAACTCCTTGCCTATCATAGGCATGAAAGAACTTTTTTCTTTTCAAACCAAATAATACTCATATTTGCCTCACATCTTTCTCAGATTGACATCCAAACATTTTGTTAAATAACATGTTATAGAAATTCAATGAGCTCTACCAAATTCTAGAAGGTGAAATATTTCCATCAAAGTCAAATACTAAGACATCTTCAAGTGCAAGAGATGAATTACAGCTTTACTTTCATTAAAACCCCAATAAAGAAAACGAAAACAAAAGCAAAAGATGAGAATGGAATGTAAGAAAGAGAGGAAGGTAGTATGAGAAAGTCTTTTTCTAGAAGGAAGCAGATGAATGACCAAAAGAACCTGAAATTAAAAAAAAACGAAGGCACTTGAGCATACTACAATAATTTGAGTGCTGTCATTTGATCAAATGAAATACTAGGGTAAATGATGGCCAAACTCTAATGTGTCCTGGTTACACCATATCAAAGCAAGGCAATGTTCTCTGTACTATAGCAGTACTAGAACCTAGGCCACTGCAAGGTTGTTAATAGATGTAATTTCAAAATTGTGTCTCAGAGAAGAGTAAGGTTGAGAGAAAGGGACAGAAATGGGAGTGACTAGTGAGTGGATTAGTCAGAACCACACATGTATAAATTAAGTTTGCCATCTTACATGGGCACAGTCAAAACAATACAATAGTAACACCAAAGATCACCAATCACCTATCATCAATCACTTATCACCAGTCACAGATCACAATAAAAGAAATGATAATGAAAAAAATTTTGAAATATTGCAAGAATTATCAAAATGTTACACAGAGACACAAAGTGAGCACATACTGATGGCAAAATGAGTGCCGATACTTGTTCAATGCAGGGTTGTCACAAACCTTCAACTTGTTAAAAAAGCATTATCTGTAAAGTCAATAATGGTAGGCTCAATAAACAAGCCAGGTATATACCTTTCTTACCACAATCCTGTTCTATAAGTAATACTCAGTAGATGTTAGTCAATATATACACGAACAACAAACTAAAATGGCCCTTGAAAATGAAAAATTCAAGTCTCTTGACTACCAAATTTTATTTTTAGTGAGAACGACTGCTGTTCTGGTGAACTATTTTCTTTTACAGTGTGACAAAAGCAATTTAGTGGAATAATAGCAAGTTTTCTCTCAGTGTCTATGCAACAAAATATGTGGTTCATCCTAAAAAATGCAAGATGTTATTTTGTTTCATAAAACTTTCTAGAATAAAAGTGTGACTACCACATAATATGCATTAAAATCTTATCATAATTATATATTAGGAAACTAACTGAAAGACACAATGAGAATTCATAATTACTTTAAATTTCTCCATTGAGTCCCTAGAGAAGGTTTTACAAGCTGCATCAATTTCCTTTCCTATCACACCAAGAATGGATTCCTGCTCTGTCTCCAGGCAAAGAAGTTGATCCTTGAGCTGCAATCTGGCCTCTTCCATCCTCCTTAAGTGCTCTTCTTCATTGCTTATATGTTTTTCCTAAGACAATGATAAGAAGTGAAAATATAAGTTAGTTACAAAGTGGAGGCAAGAACACCTGTAACATCTGTATTGCCAACTCAAAGAAGTGTATATATATATATATTTAAAAAAAAGGAAGTCTTCTATACTAAGGTATTTGGTCTACTCATTAACTGGGATCAAGTTATAGAGAATAGAGAATTCATAAGTAGGGCATTGAGGGATCTGGTGAGCAGACACATGGGAATTATAGAAATCTGTAAGCCCTGGCCTTCCGAAAAAAAAGAAGTTGAAGAAAACCCTTTCCCATGTTAATAATAATGCCATTAATACATAAAAGCTAAGCCACCAACTATTTTATGATTTCAATAAATATTAGTAAAATACTAGAAAGCGCAAGTTGTCAACATAGTGTTAGTTCCTTCATTTCTGGAAAAAAATTAGTCTTACCATCTTTATCTAAACATATTTTTTTTTAAGTATAACTTTTCAAATGCATAGTATATGAATGCTTTGACCAGAAAAATTTGATAAAATGCAAAATGGCAGTACTTTTTCAAGTAAGCAAACATACTTGATGAAAAGGGGTTTTAAAGCAACCCTTTAAGAGATCACAAGATTTTGAAAAAAATCCCTCTAGGCCAAACAATTTTCAATCATTACGATTACATAATAACACTACTAGAAAAATTCAAAATGTATTGCACAAGGTTTGGAGGAAAATGAAGGAATCGCTAGAATTTTAAATATAAATGGTGGACAAAAAATCTTTACCTATGTAGTAAATACAACACAAGCAGGTTAACATACCTTGCTTGAATTTAAAATAATAAAGAAATCTCAGCAAAAAACCAATCATAAAAGGATGGTATTTTAGCAAGAGAATCACATATAATTTCCTTTCAATGACACTTACTCTTAAGAATAAATGAAACAGGGGCCTCCCTAGTGGTCAAGGAGTTAAGACGCAGCACTATGAAGCTATCCACAGCCACTGCAACATGAGTTCCATCCCCAGCCAGGGAGCTACCCACATGGTGCAGCACACCTCTCCTGTCTCAACTACTGCTCCCCTCAGCAGTGTACTTCAGTCAATCTGCCGGTAGTGTTCCCCACTCTGTCTCTGGTGAATCCCCTCACCTCCCTCACACCTATGGCCTGTACCCCAGTTCTTGTATGACTAACAAATCTTTAAAAACAAACAAAAAAAGAACAAATGAAACACACTTTGCTCAAAAGACAGTTCTTTCACAACCAATTTTCCGCCCTTCTCAACACTCTCATCTTCCTCTTTTCTACTTCTCATATTTTAACTATTTGCAGTTTCTCAAACATATCTATACATGCCCCCCTAACCATATCTGATATATACAACTCTGCTTAAATTGTTGTGTTTTAAAATGGAGGAGGATCCAGGAGAAAGCATTTCTCTCCACAAGTTCACCTTAGCTCACTATGCCAGTCTGCATCATAACTTTGTAAACGTAGGAAGTGGATTCTCTTTTCTTTTTGGCACTTTGAGTGGAGTAATCCTTTAGCAGTAGGGTAACATTAAGTTCATAAAAGACTAATATAGAAGCTAGAAGCCATGCAGTTAACTACCTTAGTTTACGATGAGAACCATAACTGCCATTAAGATCAGAAAGCTCGTGTCAGCTTAACCAGAACACTCTATCCCTGAAGATCAGTTTAAAAAGAGGCAAATTATAATCAGAATGTTGCTTAATGAACAGGAAATCGGAGCAAGGGGAGTTTGTTTTATAAAACAATGTTGAAATGGTATCATGCTCATGACAGCAGGGCTTGTCCATGTATACATCCGGGATTTACAAACCATAATAACAAGAAAATTTTATTTTCTTGGGCAATGATTGGATAGAGACAGACACAGTCAGTATATCTCTCTAATTTTCCTTTCCCCCAAATTCAGTTTCTACACACTCTCCACCAGCTGATACATCTCATTAGATATACTGACGACATTACCAAATCTTTCTCCTTATCTAGATATCTTTCTGAAAAATTAATGTCCTTGCTCTGAACAATATTTGATAATTTAATAGTTTACTTATTAGAAAGGAACTTTACTGTTAGGTTCCTAGTTGAGGATACTTACCTTCCTAGAGCTGGTACGTATCCACCACGTACACTACCTTTTTCCTTCCAAGTGTATCCTTCAAGACCCAGTCTCCTTCCTTTCCTGATGTCCATCATACATGTCATTTGTATCCAAAAAGATTTTATAGGTATCAAGTTGTAATATAATTATTTGTTTCTGAACCTGTTTTCTTCAATAAACTACTAATTTCAGGAGCCCACAAAACAAGTTTACAGTCATCTTTAAACTGATTGTAAAGATCATTTCATCAATTATCATGCCAATCTACATATTCAGAGCCTACGGTGTGCTAAAAGATTCTCTCCGATGTATTACTAAGCCTCCAGACTGATGCAGTGTTTTGTTTTGTTTTTAAAGATTTTTTTTTTTTTTTATACAAGCACTGGGTAGTCAGAAGTATGGGAGGGTGGGAGGATTCACCAGAGCCAGAGCAGGGAACAGAACATGCAGACTGACGAAATACACTGCTGAGGGGAGCAGCGGGTGGCAGGAGAGGTCTGCACACCATGTGGGACCCTCGCTGGCAGCCGAGGATCAAACTGGCACTGCAGAGGCTGCGGGCAGCTTCGCAGCCCAGAGCTCAACCGCTGCTCCACCGGGGAGGCCCTGATGCAGTTCTTGACAGTCTGATGTTAATAAAGAAAATACTCTGTCAGATGTTACTAATGTGTAGAGAGGATGATTTATATTCTAAATTCAGGTAATTCACAGTAATATTCTAATTGTTCTTTCTTTCCTCATCTCCTCATAGTCATCTTTCTTTCATTCACCATCACTTGTCTGTATTGTTAGTTACTTGACTCTTATTAATAAGACAAAACTATTTCCATATTTTGATATTCTTTTTTTTTAAAAGATTTATTTATTTATACAAGAACCAGGGTACAAGACAGATGCGCAGGAGAGTGAGAAGATTCACCAGAGACAGAGCAGGGAGCAGAACAGGCAGACTGACAAAATACACTTTTGAGGGGAGCAGTGGGCGAGACAGGAGAGGTCTGCCGCACCATTTGGGACCCTTGCCGACTGGCGGGGATTGAACCCACGCTGCAGAGGCTGCGGACAGCTTCACAGCACTGCGCTGAACCTTCTGCGCCACCATGGAGGCCCTATCTTGATATTCTTAGGAATGTTAGTAGCATCAGAAAAGGTTCTACAAACTCAATCTCTTTAACAAAGACAGAAACTTCACTATACTCTGTGAGACAGCATGTTCAATCCAATCTGTGAAGTAAAATTTACAGAACTCTAAGTTCACAAGGCTGATCAGAGATAAGCAGGCCCAATAACTGGTCCCCTCAGCACATGTTCATCCACCCTACACATGGCCATCTCGTATTTCAAGGACCAAAGTACTTGACTAAACAAAAATCTCCCCCTTAGGCTTAACACTATATTCAAGAATTAATGTAAACAAATGAATCCGCCACCCTTCTTGAATCTTGTAACATTTGTGGTAAAAATACAGGTTCTTTCACTTAGACAAGGTTTCAGACACTGCATAAAACTATTATTCTCTTCACGAGCAACCAGATTCTAAATCTAAGAACTCGGTAAATTCTCCCCTTGTGTACTTAAGCAATTATAACTTGACGCTTTCACTCATTCAACAAATTGTTATGGGAATCCTACTAGGGCAAGACATTTTGGGAGGTACAAGAAAGAGTGTGAATGAAATAAACAAGGCTCCTGCTTGGATTGTCAACACATCTCTTCAGAAACTTCCATCAACTTTGCTTTGTCTCATTCTCCTGGCTGGAGATTAACTATTTAAATACTAATTGTGGGGCCTCTTTGGTGGCGTAGGGGTTAAAGTCTCAGCACTATCACTATCAAACTATCACCAGGCACTGCCTCATGAGTTCAACCCCTGGCCAGGGAGCTCACTCACATGGCACAACAGAACTCTCCTGTCTTCCCGCTGCTCCCCTCAGCAGTGTATTTCAGTAGATGCTCCTGTTTTGCTCCCCATTGTATCTGGTGAATCGGTTCACCTCCGCACCTCTGGCCTACACCCTAGTTCTCGTATGCATAAATATAAAAAATAAATCTTTAAAAAAGAGAGAATACTAATTGTGGCAGCCAATAATTCTTTCTCCTATTATTGTGTTTCAGAAAAAGGTCTACCAATGAAATAAACTTAGCTAACTCTGAGTAAAGGGTAGGAAACTGGCTGACATCAATCTAAATAGTCTATCTGATTAGGGGGCATGTAGATTAATAAAGCATATGATCATACTTAGGCACTACTATGGCTATTTTCATACCTTCTAAGAAATTCAGAGGGAACAATAATTCTACAACAAAATTAATTTTAAAAATACCATATTTCTCGAGAACCATGGTAAGAAATAATCCAAGGTTAGGAATAATCAAACACATAGTTAATCAATTTCAATATTTTAGATGCCTAGGTTTTGGGAACATAAGGAATTTCTTTGAGAGGGCAGAGAGGAAGTAGGGGGAGAATATAGATGAATTTAACTGTAGCAGTCTCTGTGATCCAAGAAAAGAGATACTGTAGACCATGAGTGAGTTTGACAAAGAACCTTAAGAAAAAACCCAACCCTTCATGTCACAAATGAAGAAATCAAAGTTCAGACAGACAAAATAACTTCAAAAAGTCTACAACCCATAACCTCTCATTCCCTCACTAGTATTTTTAAAATGCTAGAAAGACTGCTATAAAGTTGAGAATGCCAATGTGGAAAAATGAAAGTTATCAGCAGGTAATGCAGGGAATAATGTCATTTTGACATAGCAAAAAAAAATTCAAAATAAATTTATGAATGAGCCTTATCATTACAAATGAAAATACATAACTTACTAGCAAATTCCAAAAGGACTCAGCCCCTCGCTCCACTAACCATTGAATATACACAAAATCCTAAATCTTTAG